GATGTTTAAGGTCCCTTCCAACACAAATAATTCTATGATTCTATGAAATATCCAAACATGAATGTGTAGCAAGTTTGCATTGCAAGTGTGGCCGACGGTAAAAATAATCTTTAAGTCCACGGTGTATGTTTCAGCCTACTGGTTGCTATTTTTCCTGTCATGACACAAGTACAAGAAAAGAGTGAAAGTAGGATCTTGGTATCACGCAGTTTGGAGACTGTCTAACTCTATGAAGAGGAGGCTATAAATGGCATGTGTACAGAGCAAGGCCTGGTTTTCCTCTACTAATTTTACCAACTTCCTAGCTTTAGTAATCTGCATGTGATCCTAGCCGTGGTTTAAGATTTAAGTGTATATAACAATCAAACAGTTTGTTACTTGCAATTCTGATTTGCATGCAGTTTTATTTACATGAATCTGAACCTCAACTGTTCATTGAGCTTTTCTTTTTTTCTGAAAAACAAATTTATAGGAAAGATCCACTGCTTTCCATAAATCTAAGAAGAAATCAAAAGAGGATATAAATTTTGCAGAGAACTATGAGTCATCTGGCTTTATCTACCCCTATAATGACCTCCTGGTTTGGGCAGTATTAATGAAAAGGCAGAAGATGGCGATGTTCTTCTGGCAGCATGGAGAGGAAGCCATGGTCAAAGCCGTTGTGGCTTGTAAACTCTACAGGGCGATGGCACGTGAAGCTAAGCAGAGCAACATGGTGGATGACACTTCAGAAGAACTCAAGAAGTACTCAAAGTACGAGTTGTCCCTTCACTTCTGTTAATAAAGTTCTGCAGTGCTTACAATGGTTATGTATTTTCCTAATCCACTAAGAGTTTGTAACTCTGGACTACAGAGCGCAAAATAAATACTTTCAGCTGCCCACTATTCATATGATATAATGGAACTATGTATTGGTGTGCAGTCTGGTCAAGAGTTAAAGGAAAGCTATTGGCATGTTATGTAGTTGCATATTTGAAAATTAAAACTTAAATGAGTAAGGCATGGCTCACTGTCTGCTAAATGGTCAAGTGGAAGACTGAGATTTCCCTTACAGCTTCCCTTCCAGTTCAACTTGTTAAAAAGCCATATGGCTTGTATGTGTTCAAATTTTCAAATCTGTAACGTGGTAATGAGCAAACTAAAATCAGTGCTTAAATCTTGCTCTGACCTATGCTGAAATAACTCAGTGAATAAAAATGAAGTAGGCTAAGAATTTTCTTCAAGTTTTTAGTTCCATCTAGTGTTTTCTGGTAGTTTTTCTTGTTAATGACATACTGTATGTTTTGTAGACATCATGCCTCAGATTCAGAGTACAATATGATGTAATGTCTTGTTTTGCATGCAGCTCCAAAGCTTAATTTAAAGGAAGGTGTATCTTCCTTGAGAAGTCTTCCCTACAGAGACGTTTAAGAGCTTGTGTAAAAGAAAAGGTTTTTGCAACTGTCTAAAATGCTTGCCCACAGTGGTGATTAATCTGTTGTTGAAGGAAATACACAGAACTTCATAGGGTCCATCTTGATTGCTAAGTGAGATTAAGAGCAAAACAAATAAAAAAATAGAAAATGGAATGACCCTAAACATTGTGATTAGGACTAAATAGTTAAATTTACTCCCCAAATTATTTTTCGCTAGATATATTGATAAAACAAATGAAAAAAATAGCAGAATGCATACTTACTGAGATAGTTAGCTGGTTGTTAATTAATGGAGTTTTCAAACCAACCTCTTTGCAACAGTGATTCTGAGTTTTGACTGATTCCTCTTATATTAACTGTTAATTCCTTTTCACTCTAGGGAGTTTGGACAGCTTGCCTTAGATGTGCTGGAGAAAGCATTCAAACAAAATGAGCAGATGGCCATGAAGCTGCTGACCTATGAACTGAAAAACTGGAGCAACTCAACTTGCTTAAAACTAGCAGTGTCTGTGGGGCTGCGGCCTTTTGTATCCCATACTTGCACACAGATGCTGCTGACTGATATGTGGATGGGACGCCTGAAGATGCGGAAGAACTCCTGGTTTAAGGTAACATCAGTCTAGCTTTTTCTGAGGATTTAGATGCTGTTTAGATGCTTTATACATGTCTTTGTGGTTATGAACATGTCTAATGCAGCTTTAGACAGATGTGCTTAATGGATTGGAATGTGCACATCTGGGAGAGAAAAGAAAGGAGGGAAAACAGTACTTGTACTTGCTTCTGTTTTACTTCTTTGCAAAAGCAGATGTGGGGTGACATTAAGTGAGTGCATTTTGTGAGTGTTTTTTTGCTGTTCCCATTCTCTTGACACCTTTCAGTCCCTCCCCACCTGCTCTTGCTGCCCCACATTGCTGGTTCTTTGGCAGAGCCGCTGATGGGAGGAATGCCCTCCAGACATAGGGAGCTGTACCTGAAGTATCCCCAGATACCATGACACTCTTCAAAGCCACAAAATAGTCAAGAGCAACACACTTCTTTGCAGGCTGTAGGAGTGTGATACAGAGATTTCTCGCACCAGTGGCTTGGAGGGAGCCAGTGGAATTACACTGGGTTTGTGCTGGCACCGTGCATGACTGACTATGGCCTAAGGTCTATGCTATCACCACTGAACTAATTTCCTGAATCTTGTGTCTCCCTTTTAGGTCATTATGAGTATTCTCCTGCCTCCCACCATCTTGATGCTGGAGTTTAAAAGCAAAGCAGAAATGTCTCACGTACCTCAGTCTCAAGACTTCCACCAATTCACATGGTATCATGGGGATCAGAGCCCAACCAGCTCTAAAGATGCCTTGTCTCTGGTTAGTTGGTGATATGTGTCAGGGTCTGTCTGTTTATCACAGTATAATCCTGAGGAGTGAGGAGAAGGGGATCAGCTGGAGGTGTTGGGGGCCAGTTCTCAAGAAGTAGGGGTTCAGTCCCTGGTTTGGATACAGACCGAAGTGACCTTGGACAAGTCACTCCATCTGTCCTGGTTGTCACTTCTGTACTGGCCATAATGAGAAAATCCTTCCCAACCTCACAGAAGTATAATGAGGTTTTAATTATCTGTTAGTTACGCAGGTATTTTAGGGCACAAAGTCTATGCAAGCTGCAGATAAATACGTATGTAATATTGTATACCAAATAATCTAAGAATGATTTCATATCGTACACAAAATCACATCCATAAAACTCGATTTAGGTTGCCTGGCTGAGCTGTCCAAAACAGGGAAACAGCAGAATTGAGGCAGTCCAGGACCTGTCCTCTCCACCTCACTCCTTCCTCCTGCTCTGCCTGGCCAGCAGCCTCTGCCCCGCATCTCAGCCGCAGCCTCTCCCCTTCTCTGTGGCCATCCTTTGCTCTCAGTCTCTCCTTGAGATTTTGTTTCCTGAATTACATCATAGCCTTTCCAGAGATCTAGCTTCTGCCCTCCTTGTTGAAAACCGGGACATCTCTACTTCTGCATTGCTTGAGCCTAGCAGAGGTGCCATTTAAAGCACAAGAGAAGCGCTATGCTTTTGGTTTAGTCACCTGAACTGAGTACTGCAGGGACTTGTGGTTGCAAAAAAGTCCTTCTTAGGCGTGTCTGTGGAGGGTCACCAGCACAGGTGAAGTCTTGGCCTTTTAAGATCTGAATTCCCCCAGACTTCTACTAAGCAGAATTGCCTGTCCTTTCTTTTTCTCATTCTCCACAAAGCATTCCTTGAACTGAAAATTTCCAAAGTTTTCAGTGTGAGGTAGACAGCAGGTGCAGAGAATTTCCATCCAAATGGGTAAATGTTGGTGAGATGCTACCAATGACAAAAGGATTGTCAACTGAGAGCTGTCAGGCAATCTTTTTTGCTCTGCTCTGCTTACCGTACAGCAGATAAACATTGTAGATTACTTGGGACCTTCTCAGTTAACTTTGAATTTGTGTAAAATAAAAGAGAATGGATTGTCATTGGGGGCTCTAGCAGCTGCATGGTAAGCTTGTCAATGCCATACTCATGTATACAGTGTTTTCTCTCTCTGATGCAGAAAAATACTCAAAGCCGTTATCTGCTGCAGCACCTGTCCATAGTCAGTTCAAAAATGCTTTTTATGGGGTTAGGTAACAGCTACGATACAGAGGACAGGCCAATTGTAATTATTTGCAGGAGGACCACTCCTGCAGTCTGGTAGAGGCAACACAGCAATGTGCGTAAGCAGTTTTCTAGTCTGCCTGAGACAGGGCTGTTTCCTTCCTGCGCTAGCAATAAGCTTAAGTTCTGATTTTATCAAATATAGCGTGTTGTTTAAAACAAAATGCTGAACTACCGCTTTTTCTTAAATACTCTGTTATGAAATATTACAGTAAAACGCCTGGAAAATTTCAACAGTGTACATGTGCCATATAGAGCATTTTTCACACACAGTCATAAATTCCAGTGACCTGCTGCAGCGGGAAATTGCACTCTTTCATGGGACAAATTCTCTCCTTCACCTTGGAGGATGTGATGTTAACATATTGGGATGATTCTGTGTACCAAATTCTCTGGTTTAGCACTTCCCTGAGTCTAACGTGATGAAAAAAAAAAAATCAGTTTTCCCCTGATAACCCAAGGAAATGTGTAATAGAGAGAAATATGTCCCATAAAAAGTGCTATACTGCAGATATCTAGTAGCAGTAAGTTTTAGCATTGATATTAGCCAAGGCAATTGGCCAGCATTGAAACAAAACTGAACAAGGCAGCTTGGTTCTCTCAGCCATGCCCAGCTATTAGGTATTTATAGTTCCTCCAGGCCTCTTTCCTTCATCTCTGAAAACTCCTTCCGGCATCTTCTGGTTTTCTCAGTTGCCCACTGCTGTGAGTCTGCAGCTCTTCTTAGGCTTCGGCAGCAATCAGTACTTTCAGAAGGGTACTCGGACAAGTGTCAAACTCTGGATACAGAATCAAGTGTGTTTGCTTTTTTTGGTTTTGGTGGTTGTTTCTGTTTGTTTGTTTATTTATTTATTTATTTCATTGGCAATAATAAAGAAGTTACCTGGAGTTTTTGTAAGCAGATCTTTGTAAGAGAGTACTTATTTCATCCTCATCTTCTAATGAGCCATACAATACATTAAAAACAGCAATTAGATTCTGTATTTAGAATTTCAGTGTCTTGACATTTTCTGTGCAACTGTATACATGAGTGGAAATGTGATGCTCCTTCCCTTATTTCAGAACGTGCCACAGTTGTCGGTGGATTTCTAGCTAACACAGTTACATTGTATTGGGAGTTGGTATTTACCTGTATTTCACAGATGGGAAAAGTGAAACACAATGTGATTATATGAGTTTGTTTAAAGACTTAAAGAAATGTGTGTCAGAAACAGGAGTGGATTCAGGTCTGCTGGCACTCAGTCCACTACCTGTAGTTGTAAGAGCAAACTCTAAGTTAATATTTATAGTGGAAAAGTATGCATCTTAATTATTGCAAATAAGATGGCTGTAACTAAACAAAACTGAGCTACAGTAATGGTTTGTGTATTCAGAACACCATCTGTACCTGTCTTCCCTCTAACATGACACAACTTTTGCTGTCACAGACCATGGTTTCTTAGTTTTTAAATGCTGTTTCCTTTTAAAGAAGGATTATGATGTGGAGAAGGTTGCTCAGAAGTCTGATGAAAGCCAAGTAGACGGTGGACAAGGAAACCTGCCTGGGACTAGAAAAATCTATGAGTTCTACAACGCACCAATTGTCAAGTTCTGGTTTCACACGGTTGGTCATCACGCTAGAACCTGGATTGCCAAAACCCTCCTTTGATCCTTCAAATACCACTTGATCATAGAATCATAGAATGGTTTAGGTTGGAAAGGACCTTAAAGACCATCGAGTTCCAACCCCCCTGCCATGGGCAGGGATACCTCCAACTAGACCAGGTTGCCCGAGGCCACGTCCAGCCTGGCCTTGAACACCTCCAGGGATGGGGCCTCAACAACCTCTCTGGGCAACCTGTTCCAGTGCCTTACAACCCTCAAAGTAAAAAACTTCTTCCTAATGTTTAATCTAAACCTGCCCTCTTACAGTTTAAAGCCATTCCCCCTCGTCCTATCACTACATGCCCTAGTAAAAAGTCCTTCCCCAGCTCTCCTGTAGGCCCCCTTGATGCTGCTTTTGCTTTGCCCAGCATAGATTTGCAGCCACTTAGTGGTGGGGTTGGATGGGAAGACATTTGAATACTTCTGTCACAATTAAGTGAAAAGTTTTTTAGCTAAAATCATGCAGCGACAATTAAACAAACAAACAAAAAAGAACAAAAAACAATTATAAGGAACTAAAGGCAAACCTGGGCGCAGCTTTCTACAGCGTTTAATTGCACGAGTAGAGACAGATTTGAAGCTAGCCCTAAATACCTCACAGATATTCATGTCCCTTTCATTAGTAATTGTTTCTGAAGGAGTGAAATCGATAGGAGATCATTTGCTATAGAAAATTATGCATTTATTAAATAATTTTTAGTAACTAATCTGGTCTCAGTAGAGCTTAGGAAGTTTAACATCAGGCTGCCTGTTGGGTCAGACCACCACATACATAGTGGTTACTCCTTTCACAGGGTGTGGTTAACTGCTTTATAGGTTATTAATCTGTTATCTCAGATATGTTTCTAGTTTGTTCTGGTACCTTTAAAATATGTGCTTTCCACCTGGTATTGTTTTTCCTGTGTTTTGGGAGGCACTGATTAACCAGCAGTGATTCACATAGCTTTGAGAATGGTTACTTGCTCCTACAGAATGTTAGGACAGAAGCATAGCACTGCCTTTACGTTCAAGTAACAGTGTACAGATGTAATAGTCTGTCTCATATATGGATTTGGGACCTAGGTGAACATGCACTGCAGTAGTTTGTCTTCTGCTCCCATTTTTTCAGCACTAAAGCACCAATTTACTGAATGATGCTTAAGGATATTCCTATAACAAAACTTTGGAGAACGGGAGGAAAGATTCTGGGCTCAAAAATCTGACATTGCCCCAGTAGTTTGAATACATATGGTCAGGCTAATCACCTGTTAATATGTTTGCAGGGATTTTTGTGCGTATGGATTATATATTGTGTATTTTGTAGATGGCATACATGGCGTTTCTCATGCTCTTCACTTACACTGTGTTGGTGAAGATGGAACCAAGACCAAGTGTGCAAGAGTGGCTTGTTATCATTTATATTTTCAGCACTGCTATTGAAAAAGTGAGGGAGGTAAGCTTTTCCATTCACACTTCTTGTCTATAGAGGATGTATGATAAACCAGAGAATACCATAAACTGAAGAAGGCCAAATTTTGCATTATTTTTGTAGAGAATTTAACAGAGGAAATAATTATATAGGCATTTATTTCTAAGAAGTCTTTTATTTTAAGACCAGTACTTGGGCTTTGAAAATGCATCTTAAAGCTTGTTCTTAAATCTCTGTTCTTCTGTGTAAAGCCAGTGGTAATATGTGGGTCCCTCGAGAGTGATTGTGCTGAATTGGCACTTGGAGCCCCAGTATAGGCATCTGTTTCTTATTTGTTTTGAGTGGACCATTAGATTTCTTATAATGAATATGGAATTTGTCTTTAGATATTTACTTTGAGTGTGGACGTTGTTATCAACTAATAGGTGTTATGCATAGAATAATCTATGCATCAAGCTCTTCTTTCTAGCACTAACATTCATTGGAGACTTTGAGATTCATGTCTTCTACTTGATTTTCTTTGTCCATGTACTTGTTCTGGTTTGCTGGCAAAGACTTTGTAGGACACTGTGTCTTACACATGCAGCTAATTAACTGCTGAGGGTTTTGTTGCATATAACTGCAAAAAGATTGTATCAACTAGTTGTTAAAGCCTTAGGCCCTGATCCTGCAAGTGGTCCTCATGTGGGTTACTCCAGCTGAATTGAGTAGGATCACTTCTTTACATTAATGTGTTCATATGCTCAAATTCTTGCAGGATCAGGGCCACATTTCAAAATCTCTGCTTTGCTTGGTACTTATCAGTGTGATCTTACATAGCACTGCATAATTGGCGTCACTTGCGCAATGTGTAAAGGTTTTATTTATGGCCTCCCAAAGATTCCACTTCACACATTTGCTCAGTGAAGCTTAAAATCCCTTTGGGGCACCTCACAGTTCAAGGAGCTAACATTTCATTCTTTACCTTGCTAGTTGCCAACACTCCTTTTTTTTTTAGTGTGTCCTTGGTGGAATACAAGGATCTTTCTTTATATTTTCAGTCTGAAATAAAAAGCATTAGTTATTTTCCCATCAGCAAGGTTAGGTTGGTACTTTCCATGACTTAGGGGCTTTTGAAAGGGCTATTGCAGGTCGTGACCATTCCTCTAGAAAATGCTCATTAATTTATAATGATACATATGCATAATAGTTCTATACTGGCTGCTCTTTTTGCTGAGGAAATGCGCTCTTCAGGGAAGAGTTCAGGCTCAGAATTTCACAGAATCACAGAATGGTCAGGGTTGGAAGGGACCTCTGGAGATCATCTAGTCCAACCCCCCTGCCAGAGCAGGGTCACCTACAATAGGTTGCACAGGACAGCGTTCTAACTGTTCCTAAGTTTTTCCTTAGGAAGAACTATCCTATTTGGTGTGGTGTGCTTGAGCAATATGATGCTATAGATAAAATACAAACCTCAATTAACAGTGAATAGCAATATGCAGTACATGAGCCTGAAAAAAAAAAGAAAAAAAAGATACATTCCCAAATATCACGAAACAGTTAAGACAGAAAAGGTTAAAGAATGTATCTGTGATTTTAATGGAGTTTCATTGTTGGTGGTTTTTTTTTTTTTTCCCCCACATTCTACTTAGGTATTTATCTCCGAACCTGGAAAATTCCGCCAAAAAGTGAAAGTGTGGATTTATGAATACTGGAATTTTACCGATTCTATAGCTATCATCCTGTTTATGATTGGTTTTGGCTTGCGCTGGTCTGAGCCTCCTGTTCAAACTGCAGGGAGGCTTCTTTACTGCTTGGATATAATATTTTGGTACACTCGGCTCCTTGATCTTTTTGCTGTGAATCAGCATGCTGGCCCATACCTGACAATGATTGGGAAAATGGTAAGTATTATGCTTTGGAGCAATATTTTTTTTATAGTTAAGGCATCTGTTGAGGAACATGTAAAGGTCAGCAGTGACAGAAAAGAATGATGGACAAAGGACAGGTCAGCTAATAATCCATAGTGAGTGTATTACCTGAAAATACCAAGTCTTTTTCTGTTTGTTAATTGCCTATAATCAGATTTCAGTACTCTCTAGTTTATTCATTATTTGAATTTATTCACAAAAGCCATTTTTGCTTCATTCCTTAGAGAAAGCATGCATTTGAGTTGAGTTTCTGATCCAACTTGATAATGAGAGAAAGAATCACTGTCTCTTGCAGATGGGCTCAGTACTGTAGATAATTCCCCTAGCTCTTGGAAACTGTCTCATTATTATTTTACATTTTGATTCAAATAACTATATCCCATTTTTAGCAGGCAAAATTTCTCTGAGATCAAAGTTAATTTTTTTTTCTCTTTTGGTATAAGAACTGCTGCTGAACTGCTGCCTAGTCTTGAGGGACATCTGCAGATTCCCTCTGTAATTTCCCTCAGTTATTGGGAACTATCTTATTAATACTTTTATATTCTGTCTTGCATAGTAATTCTGATGCAGTGTTAGAAGGCAAAATAATTTTCACTGCTATTCCTTGCTCTCAGTTTGGAAGAAATATCACTGAGGAAAAGCACCAGGATCTTAAGCAAGATTTGAAAAATGCAGAGACCTTATGATGGTGCTTTTTTTTTTTCTCTTGCTTGAGAAGCAGGTAGGACTTGTGTCCTTTTTGGTCCAGGATGACTTTAACCTGTATAAAATACTTGGGTAGTTCGGGTCATAGAAAAAAAAAAATATTTCCTCCAGCTTATCAGATTATTAACCCTGTTTTTATATTCTGATTTGTAAAAGCAGTGAATGTCTCCTTTGCATATAATTGACACATACAAACATGTCTTCCAGACAGCAAACATGTTCTATATTGTGGTTATGATGGCCATAGTCCTATTGAGTTTTGGAGTGTCACGAAAGGCAATCCTTTCACCAGAGGAGCCTCCTTCTTGGACTCTGGCACGAGATATTGTATTTCAGCCCTACTGGATGATGTTTGGTGAGGTCTATGCTGGAGAAATAGATGGTACGTAATTTTCACAGTACAACTTAAATTTAATATGTGCAGAAACATGCCCACTTTGGGCTACTAGATTTTTGACCACATATTGAGTCTATTCTTTCTCAAACAATTTTGATTCCACTATATGTATGTCCTTAATGAGTAATACTGCATGAATAAAGGTGAGAATATTAGCTTCTGTGTTTAAAAGCTTAAGCTTTGAAATCTTCAAATTTAGCTTTTCAGATGAAGTATATGGCAAAGCTCAGAGCAAAGCACATAGGAAGTAACACTCAGCTAGCTCATGGTCACGGGATCTGGCAGTGAAATTAATTTCCTGTTAGGTGAATCCAAAGCTGCTGATCTCTTGGAAAAAAGTCTACAAAGTTGCCTTAAAGGAAGAAAGCATAAAGGGAAAACAAAAAGGAAACATAAAAAAGAAAAATTGTTTTTCACTGAACTAAGTTACCTGGCATCATTCTTAAACAGATTAACTGGCTGAAAATAGGAAAAATAGAACCAATCAAAGTAAATAGGAAAAATGTTATATCTTGATTATGGCTTTGGCCTTGGCTCAATAAGAGAGAACCGGGCACTCCAGTAGGTATTTCAGCGTTACAGATGGAAGGCACTCTCATGCTGCCAAGTGGTCGGTACAAGTAAAACAGTCCCTAAAATAGAAAAGTAGGTATGCAAATAGGTACAGAAGTTATGTGATTGAGCATAGATCTGATTCATTAAAATAATTTAAAATGTTGTATCCATTATTATGGGTTATTATCAGCCATTGGAATAATTTCCCTGGGGAAGTGCTGGATTCCCCATCCTTGGACATTTTTAAGATTTGACTGGACGGGGTGCTGGGCCATCTTGTCTAGACCGTGCTTTTGTCAAGAAAGTTTGGACCAGATGATCCTTGAGGTCACTTCCAACCTGGTATTCTATGATTCTATGATTCTTTGATTATTGCTGAAACAGTCACATGATGGCTATGTGTTTTGGTTATATAAGTCAAAATTCTTTTTATGAAAGCACACTGTTATGTTTCACAGTTTAATCCATTTAATCACTTATTAATGCTAAACCTTTAGAAATTTGACACTTCCCAAATAAAGCTATGATTTCTCTAATGGCTCTTTATGCTGTGGAATATGTCCTGAATTTAGGGCTACTGCCTTATAAATGTGTTTTAATATTTCCTCAAAGGTGTAAAATTTGATTAAAAGTTAGAAAGACTGAAAAGTATTTATTTTGGCAATTTAAAAACATTAAGAGGTAAGCCTTAATTTCTACATTGCTTCATCTCACAGATATTTGTAGCTATATATCTTTTGCACATGAATTAATGTGGTCTGAAGGAATAACTGCAGTACTGATAAAGCAGCCTTTGCGCTGTATCCTTTCCACAGTGGAGTCAGTGAGAGCTTTGCCACTTGCTTTAAGGTCAAAGGATCAAAGATTTGGATTTCGGTTTACTCGAGTATTTGCCATCTCCCAAGTACATTTCAGCTGCATCATTTTTCCACTTAACAAAAAGTTGGAGTGACTGGCATGAGAACTGATATATATGAAGTGGTGTCTAGAACTTCTGAACTGCAATGGAAATTATGGGGAGTAGTATCATGAAGAGATCTCAGATCTCCTTTACATGGAGGCAGACTTTTTAGTTGGAAATTTATTGATGTATCTCCGTAAAGGTAATGAGGACTATTCTGTTTCTTGTTGGGGCAAATAAGAAGCACATGCCGTTGCTGTGCTCTGCTCTGATTTCCATGCTAACCATGGTCTGTATGTCTTTCACTTTCAGTCTGCGAAACCAATGAAGACTGTCCTCCTGGCTCCTTTCTCACACCATTCCTCCAAGCTGTCTACCTCTTTGTGCAGTACATCATCATGGTCAACTTGCTTATTGCTTTCTTTAAGTAGGTACCATGGTATATTGTTGCAAAAGCAAAAGCAACTTATAGATGTTCTGCCAACACTTCTGCAAAAGCATTTCACCAAAAATGCCCCAGCAGGGGCGTATTGCTGGTGATTTTACCCCATCTTCCACGAGGGCTGAGAGAATACATAAAAGAACGGTAGAAGCAAGAGTGTAGAAGGAAGGTCATGGTGAGCAGACACCTAAGCTGTTTTGTTGTTTAAACAGAATCTGACTCTGTGAAAGTGGAAGACTCCAGTTGGCAAACAAGCAACATTAATTTAGCTCTGAAGGAATTTGTCCTTTGTTCCTAAAAGTTGTATTTGCTGTGCTGAGAGCTTGTATAATGTTCATCATACGGTTGCTCAAGATTTAAATGGCAGATAAGTAGAGAAAGTATTCAAGGGAACAGGGTAATGACTTTGTAGGCGCATGCTCTTCTGTTAGGAAATAATTTGAAAATTCCTGTTGTTTGGTGCAATTTGATACGTTCTAGAATGAAATCTAACTGTAGTGTTTTTAACTATTTGCTTTTTCATGTCTGCTGCCAGAGTACGAAGAGTCTGTGTAGTAATTCTATAGTAATTAATTCTAACCTTTCAAATTTTAAGAGGGGAGCCCTTGTAGTGATCAAGTTCTGTAAAATGTTAGTGAAGAGCAGTCTAACCCAAGTAGTTAATTATTTTTTTCTAGAGTTTAGTATTTCTGGGGAAGAAAAAGTCAGCTGTAGGTTAAAAAAATTTCAGATGAAGAAAAGTAGTGATTAATATTCAAGGAAACTGAATGATCAAAACTCATTGTATTCCCACTTCCAATTAGAAATCCCTTTCCTGAAATTGTGGCAAGGCATCAGTTGTTTTGTTTTTTTGTTTTTTTGTTTTTAATACACAGCTGTGAAATTGTAATTTGAATTATTTTTAGATTTAAACCTTCAGCAATGATGGTATGTTACATCTTCTGCCTAGTGATTTAATTGTTCCAGAAGTGGGACCAGAAGTGGGTATGAGCAATATAGTCAATTATGCTCCCAGAAGCAAGGATGGTATTTTTGTGATTATATGCTGAGTGTGTAGTATGACGGTGCAACTGAAATTACAGTGCCAGAAACCACAAAGTTTTCCTGTACTTGGGTCTATGATAGTAGGTACAGGAAATTATTCAGTGCAACAACAGTCACATTTAGTAATATCATAGCTCCACAGAGTACCCTGCAGAAGAATCACTCCTGTAGCTGCATCTTGCAGCCAGTATTTTGTTTAGAGTCAGTACACTGAAAAGCAGCAGAACCGTTCTAACTCTTCCCTTAGCCTGACTCCGACATTTAATCCAGTCCAAAGAGGCAGACAATGTTGAATTCTCAGTTAGGCTATGTATTAAAGTTTAAATAATCTGGCTGAGATTTCAAAGCTACTTCAGGGATATATTTTGCCCAGTTGCCATTAATGTGAATGGGAATTGGATCTCCAAATCCGTTAGGCAGCTTTGAAGATCTCATTCTCAGTGCAGTAGCTGCAGGCACATGCTGCTGCTTTGTTAAATGAAAGTTGCTAAGCTGATTTACCTCACTGGAGGCATGGGACTTTTCTTCAGTGTCAAATTAGATCTGTAGACAAGCATCTCGTGCTGTTTTGGGAGTATTCCTCACAGGAGTGTTTTAACCTCCTTTCCCCTCTGTCTCTTTTCACAGTAATGTTTATTATGATTTGAAATCCATATCGAACAAGCTCTGGAAGTACAACCGGTATCGCTACATTATGACCTACCATGAGAAGCCATGGCTGCCTCCACCTTTCATCCTTCTGAGTCACATTGGACTTCTGATAAACCGCATCTTCCACCATCGGCCCCCAAATGAGCTAGATCAAGAGGAAGGCGATGTTGGGCTAAGTAAGCAGAGCTAAGTTGGGGACCAAAAGAAATAGCTGATGAGGAATGTTTTGCCAGCCTCACTTTGTAGCTCAATTCCTCAAGAAAAAAAAAGAAGAGAGATTCTCTGGGTAGGAGGCTGTTTTTATTTGCAAAACTGAATTTAACCTGCCTGTCTGAGAACTCTTGTAGGAAAAAGTGACTAGGGGAATGCTTTGCTTTGTAATTGGCTTTTGCTCTGCTACACACTGTGCATCATCAGTCAAGATACATCACAACTCTGAGCTGAAATAAAGTGACAGCAGCTTTTTCTCTAGGACAGAATAGCCTTATTTTGAAAAAAGTGAACAATAGCGGAGGTATAAATTTCTGTACATTTGTCCTGAAAAGACCAATGACTCCTTTTTAATCGCCCAGAGAAAGTAGCCACAGAGCCCAAGGACAGAGGAGATCCATTGATGGCAGACGCAGACAGAGAGCGTAGGGGCCTCCCACCTCCTCACTGCATCTTCGCTTTGTGCACTGGCTCATCACTGCACCTTAACCCAGCCTCCTTCACCCTTCCCAGCCTGGATTTCTCCATCCCAGAGTCCTTCCTAATGCGTCTTTAAGGTGATGCCAGTTCCCTGCCCCACTGTTGTCAGCTCCTGCAGCTCTGCCAGGAGCAGCCCCAGCTATTGCTGGGTGGGGAACACAAGATGTTGGGATGGGAATGAATACTCAGTAGTGGGGCTTGGTGGTTGGTGGGGTGAGGCAGGGGAATGGGGAGGAGGAGAGTCTGCTGGCAGTAACCTTACCTAAAAAAGTGTTGGGGAACATTGGCGCACAGTTTTATACAGCCTCATCCTTCTTGATGCAATGTACATTCTTGATACCTAATAACAGAGGAGAGCAGACCCTGCCTGGGTTATGCTTCACTTAGGATTTTCTCCACTGAACGTGAATCCTTGAAGATATCTGGCACGCTCACAGGTGGTTACAGAGTTCAAAAATGGGCTTAACTAATCAATGCTGAGCTGCTTTACTGCTCCTCCCAAGCTCAGCTCCTCCATCATGACTGGATACATCAGCCTGCCTTTGAAGTACCACTGCTTATGTTATATGCATGCATTGTGTAAGTCACTGATGTAGCGTAGGAGGTGTCTTGTACGGTGCATTAGGCACAAGGAAAACTGAAACACTGCTTAGCACATCTAAAAGTCCTTGGATAGAAGAGGGCTCATGCTTTGCCTACACTTCTCTCAGAAGCAGTCTTATTTCTTGTTTATCTGCCGTTGTGTCTCTTTTCTGTGTGCCTATGCATTGCTTGATAAGTTTCTTCTACTTAAATTTTGGTGTGGTTATAATTAACCGGTTTTAGCAATGAGGATCCAGTGCCACCCTGTGGAAAATCAATGCAAATACCAAGATACAGAGTAAAACCTCGGAGGCAAGAACACAGATAGATTAGGGTGAAAAGAAGCCTAGGAGGTGATCAAGTCTCTTTCAGATTAGGGGGGTGAGGGGGGCGGGCCCTTCAGATGGAATATACGATATTCTCCCTGTTCACTATACATGTCAAAATTCCTGCTAGCGTTTCTGCTTTCATTTGCCTAAAATATTCCAATTAGATACAATCAGAGACTTGGCATAGCGTGGCTTTTTGAAACTCTACTCCCTCTGCCTAGGGTCCTCTTCACAGCATTTCCTAATTGGTGTGAAATCTCCCCCCCCGCCCCAAGTACAGTGAGGACTCTGGTATGTAAAAAAGGAAAGAAAAAAGGAGCTTGGAAGATGTGGAGTTTGGATCAGAGGAGCAGCTTTCCACCGTATGCATTTCTTCATGCTGACTTACAATCGATCTGTTCTCTCAGAAGTCTTGGTGTGCTTCAAGAATAGCATCATGAGCAGCCCAGGCTGTGGAGTTTTAAACTTTTGAATGTGTTCTTTTTCTCTCAGCAATCTTGCTTAATGTTTTATACATACGTGTGAAGCAATTAGGTGAACAAAAGCTTTGTAGCTTTGAGTACCTGAAAGGACTGTAATTGTTATAGGTGACTAGCCCTAAATGAATGCCTGGACCAAATTATAGTGAAATCTTCATAAGATTGGCTAATTGTATGTACCTATATGTAGGTCTTATGAGCCATGCATGTGTAACAAAATACAGGAAAAAGTTTGGGAGAAAATGCATCTTTGTTAGCAGCCATTTGGGTATGTGCTTTTGAGGCTTTAAAAGGGAGTGCTCTGAAATTTTTATCAGGGTGGTTTTGCTCCCTTTCTAAGGAAAGATGAAAAACAAGCTTACATGTGTTTGGCACGTTAAGTCTTTGTACAATTCATGGAGTTAGGTCTGGTTCATTCTTGTCAAGGGAGGGGGAGGAAACCTGTTCTGACAGTTTTGGGTTTTTTTCTCATGGATGCTTATAAACAATTGCATTTGTCAGCATGCTTCATACCAACTCCTGCCTCCTTTGTTCAGAGCTGTACCTGAGTGATGAAGAGTTAAAGAAACTCCATGACTTCGAGGAACAGTGTGTGGAAAAATATTTTCATGAGAAGAATGAAAGCCTGAGTTCCAGTGACAGCGAAAGGATCCGTCTGACAACAGAGAGGTGTGTTTTGCTGCAGATTTGTGCTCTTTGTATACATTTGTCATATGAAAAGACTTTGATAAGCTAATGCTTTTGGAACAGGCTATGGCCACTGTGAACATGAGGAGCAATGACGTGCATGGGGCTTGCTGATTTGATGGAAATGTAATGCATGTGTTTGAAGTTCATGGCAGGCCTGGCTGGCAGAAGTGCATCCCTGGATGTGTACAGTGTGCAGGGGGGCTAAAGGAGTACAGTAAGGTGTTGCTCAGTTTCACTTTTGCAGACGAGGCAGCACCGCAAAGACATGGCAGAGTATGGCATACAATGCATATTTTTATTTAAAGGCTTAGCAGTGTCGGAATGCTGCGAGAGTATTGCTTGTGATTGAGTATAACTGCTGGTTACAGAAATAACCATGTAACCATTGTAGCATTATTTGCCACATAATGTCTTGATTTGCAAAGTGTCCATACACAACTGTCAATGGGTTTTCAAAACTCTCAGTACAGCCTAATTTAGCTTTCTATTGAAATCAATGGCAAAGCTGCCATTAAGTTTAATGGAAAGAGTTAAAGAAAGTGAGCACTATAAAAAGTCTCACTGAATGCCAATACTGTCTCACCTAATAAATTTGTTTTGCCTAGAGAAAGATAGCCTCTTAATCTTTGGCTGTTCATAGTCTATTTTCTGCATACTAAAACAAAACACGAGCAAAATGAATGTACCCCCTAAGAAAAATAAACCAAGTAGCTTTGTTCAAAAGCTGCAGAATTGATTAGAGTGAGAAGATTTAATTTCGTGGATAAATATAGATCTGGAAAGGATTTTTTTTCCTGAGTGCAAAGGTAAAACACACTTCACAGCATTGCATAACATTAGTACAAGAAATTAATTTAGATTAATAACATATTTGGGAACACTGGCATTTTATTTTATTTAGCTGTTGGTTAAATACTACCTCTCTTAGTTACTCAGTGACAAAGGAATGAAGCAACATTTGCATATTGCCTGCAGCTAGTTTATCATTGTCTTAGTAATAGAGCACCAATGAGAGTATCTTCAGGAAACGTGAAGATAATGATTTGGTTAAAATTATACCATTCCAGGGCAAGAAGTTCTTGCACTGTTCACTGGGGATTTGAAGACCATAAAAAAGGTTTTGCTTTTTGGACAGCTGAATTTTACTTGAAGAAAACTGAATGGCAGCAGACATACAGACTCTGTTCCCAGAGGCCAAATACGTTCTTGGGAAGACACTTTTCCCAGTAGTCTCCAGTATTTGAGAAATGGAAGAGTATCTGTAGGTTTATGTGAGCCTTGTCCTTCTCATGCTTGCACAAGAAATTTAGGAATGCAGGATGACTTGCTGACAAGGAGTATACTTTACAGCATTTTATGTTTACAGCTATAGCCAAAGCAGCATTTCCAAAGCCGTGTCCTGCTGTTGATGGTTTAGAAATTCTATGGCAAGGAATGGACATTAGTAGGAAAAAAGCCGTTTTAAAAATAGATACTCCTTAAGCAAAAAGCCTGTTTCCTTAAAAGTCACTGGCTCTTAGCACAGCAATCAGAATGACATGTTGAAAGTCTGGATGGATGTTGTCAAATACAGATATTTGGGAGAATGGAAGTCATCATTAAAAAAAAATAAAGGGCTCTTTGAAACAGTGGCTTTTTGAAATGTGTTAATGGGCAAACAAAAGTAAAGATCTGTGTTTTGTTTTTTTAATTACCTTTTCTTTTTCCACCTAGAGTGGAGGAGATGTTTCTGCAGCTTAAAGAAGTGCATGAGAAGGTATTTTATATCAAGGAGTCTTTACTCTCCCTGGACAGCCAGCTAGGGCATTTGCAAGATCTGTCTGCCTTGACAGTGGACATCCTGAAGGTGCTTTCGGCTGTAGACACTTTGCAGGTGGAAGAGGCTTTACTGGCTGACACAAAACATCGAACCTGTAGGAAGCTGCCCCATAGCTGGAGCAATGCGCTCTATTCCAAGACCTTGAGCAGCCTGGAGTGTTTGTATGACAAGAAGTACCACTACTACAGCATGCCACCCTCCCTCTTACGCAGCTTGGTAAGGAGTCAGTGGCCATCAGAGTGCAAAGACCGTGTATTGAGGACCGAGAGTAACCAGGTGGTAGAAGACAGCTCTCGAAAGACAGAAATAGAAAGTGACACACTCACCTCGGGAGTATCCTCTGAGACTAAGTCAACCCCTAGATATGGACAATTTTTGCTGGTGCCTCCTGACCATCAAGGAGGGTCTTTCACTGAGGATGTCACCTTAAATTTGTCCTTTTTGAGCACTCCTGCCAAGTACAGGGGGGATGCATTCAGAGATGAACTGCAAAGTAGCATTGTGGTGCAGCAAAACTTGCAGAGTGTCAGCCTGATTGGAAAGGAGCCAGAAGATTATCAATGGAGCCAGAGAGACTTTGTTGTTAATTTACCATCAGGAAAGACTAATGCTGTTGAGGCCGGTCATCCTTTTGGCCTCCAGCCATCCCTGGATATTGAAGAGAGTGCAGCACCCTCCTGCAATGACAGGGAAGAAACTGAAGGTGGTTATGTGAACTGGGGATTCTCTGAAGGTGACGAACAAGGGGTTTTCAACTCAGGGGAGAAACAAAAGAAGGCCCTGTGCATGCATTCTGCCTATAACAGTGACTGCAATTGCACAGGTAGTCCTCCCAGGCGTGTCCAGATAAGAGAATCGAAGTCCTTCTCCTACAACTCCGACAGGTCTCATCACAGCAGCAGCATCTCTCAGAACAAGCTGAAACGCAGCACCTCCTTCTGGATCAGCCCACCCTGGAGGGACTGGAGTTTCTGCAGGAGCAACAGCTTACAGTCCCCTAAGAAAGAGAAAAGCGGGAAAACCTGCAAGGCCATAGGTGGTAATTATGAAACACTGCATCTGTGCAGTATTTTTTACTGGGGAGCCCAAGACATTATAAAAATACTTCATTTGCACCCAGGAGGTATTAGCTGCCGTTGAGGATAGTAGCAGAGAATACAGAGTTACTCCTGCACTTTCTTTGTGCTGGGTCTGATTCCTGTACGGGATTTCTGAAGTGTATCTAGTATCCAAGCTGCACCACACCTGTGCGTCAGCCACCCTGATTCTCCCCATCTCATGGGATCCCTGTGGCTGTGGCTACACAGCCGGGGTGACAGAGGGACTGTGCTCGCTCCAGGGAAGTCTCCTGCCCTGGGGATGCAATGCAAGAGTTGCAGGAGCAAAAATAAATTACACAATCCCTAAGAGATATATTAGCAGTGTCATAGGTCAGATGGATGCACGGAAAATGAAGAGGTATACATTTTTTTAGCTAGTTTAAAACACTCCCCGTCCACCACCAAGTTTGCTTACCAACTAAAATATAGCAGATTCCAGTACTAAATATTAATAGTATGAGATGATGGATAACATTTGTTGTTGTATATCTTGTGATGGTGCACCTTCTTGCACTGAACTGCGTGAGTATTAGCTTTGGTGTCACAAGTCTTTCTCAGCTTGCTTTGGAGATCTGCCAACTCTCAGTCGTATCAGATCTCCTCTTAGTAAACAAAAGCTCTGTAGCTTAATGGTGTTTTTTGACCCTTTCCCACAGAGTCTTTACGATCCAGTGAGCTACACCCCGGTGAGGCAACAAAAGCAAAACAACAAAACAGAGACAGAAAGTCTGGGAGAGGAAAGAAGAATCAAAAACCCCTTCAGGTGCCGGTATGTGCAGATGCAAGAGAATCACGTAGCCCATAGCTGTCGTTTTCATTCATTAAGAGCAGTTCTACCATGTGGCTTAGTTGAAAATGTATGCATTTGAAATGCTGCACACAAATTGGGGTATGGAGTTTCAGTTTTGAACGTGTTGAAGTCTATGGACTTTGCTAGATAGTATACCAGGGCTGTAACTGATTTTACACAGAAAGGAATCAGTAGTTGCACTTTAGCTGACAGGAGGACTCAGGGAGGTGTCATATGATCTAGGAAAGACTGAAGGAGTGGTGACCCATATCGAGGTGGTGTGCAACTGTAAACAAGCAAGCCAGGCCTGATAATGTCTCCAGCATACAAGAGTCCCACAGTCTTTTCTCTGAATCCATCAAACATTTAGCACATTGCAGACAACATACTGGTTGTGTCACACGTATGGGGCAACTTTCGTAACTGTATGTATGTGTACATATATAGAAATCTATTTATAAAGTTATAAAGAGATTCCTAGGATCTTTGGCAGCTGGAAAGAGTTATCTCTGTTTAATGAGATAAAAGCTGAAGACTGATTTGTTTACATAAGGTGCTTAGGTCAGCAACAGATCTTAGACTTGAACTTTGAGACCTAATACCTCTGAAGGTATTCTGAGGGACTTCAAATTTTGTTTTTAAAAAGCTGTAGTGCTAGATATTTCATCAGTAGCATTTACTAGATAAAAGCAATGTGTCTTCTGGCAACTTGTTAATAAAAATGGGAAAATCTGTTTCTCATTTGGGAGTGAGTTCAGTCATTAGCGTTTCAGTGATGCTCTGAAAGGCCGCATCATAGGCTGTCAGAGGAACTGCAAAGGTGTTAGTCATCCTATAAATCGAGTGTTGTTTCCTCTGTATCTTGCCAGGTGATTAGAGTGGATGATTGTCCCCAGAACACCCAAGTGAGCTCAGAGCCTGCAGAGATCAATATCTGGGATGAGCAAGAGAAACACAGCAAGAACTGGCTCACTGTGTCTAATTTCAGTCAGCTAAGTATGTGCTATTTTGCAGATGGTGAAATTCAGAACAGCTTTTAAAAAGAAGCAGTAAATAAAAATTCAAAAATTCAAAATGTCGTCCTCCGCTATGACCTCATTTTGACAGAATTAGAATTTGGTTGCAGGCGCACATGACTTGGTTATTTGCTGCATCATTGCAGAGGCAAAAGGGACATAGGTCGGATGGAAGGTCAGTTAAACCTTTCCTGGAGTGCTGCCTGTCTCGCGTGGGAGATAGTAGAGTACTAATCCTCAGGAATATGTGGGAAGCAAGGATAATATCCTTGTCTCTTCTCCTGAGGTGTCTTCGAAAGTGGCATCCTGGCTAATTGCAAAAGTAAACTCTCTTGTGAATTTCTCAGGGCATTTACACTCACAGGCAGCACTGCAATACTGTATCTGCTGGCAGATCCTCTGCATGTATTATTCATTACTCATTGCTCAGAAACACATCCTCCAAAGGGAAGAAATGAATTCTGTATCGTCTCTGTTGGAATGAAAAGGGAATGGCATTCTTACTCTTCTTTTAGTAATTCTCCAACTCTTTCATTCTCAGAAGTCTTTTGCATAGTTCATCTTTTCCTTAGGCTTTGCTGTGATGTGGCTCACTGGCTTCAGCCTGTGAGTTGCTGGGAGAAGCACCAGGAAATGCTGTGACTCAGCACAGCGTGGTCTGAGAAGGGCTGCGCTCCTCCGAAATCTGCTGAGAGAGAATGGGAACAGTCCGTTTTAACCCCATGAAATTCTGTTATTGTTTTTATAGCCTATTACGTGTTTGCTGGGGCAGTATGGTATATAGATGTTTCTTGCATAGCGCTGTATAGGTGTTTAGTTTGTAGCAAGTAGAGCTGTTCATTTACACTCTGCAAATAGCTGACACCTGCTCTTTCTGGCTAGGTTTGGAACATCTCAGTTACGTGCACCAGAAAATGAAAAATCAAGACAGCGGTAGGCATACCATACCATTCTGTGATTACCTGAGGCATTCTCGAGAGGTAAGACCTAAGATTGCAAATCCTAGTCCGTAGTTTTTTGGCTGGGATGAGCCCAGGGTAGCTCTACTCATGTCCCTGGACTTGCCACTGTACGTTCTTTTGTCAGGAAATACCTCTTGAGAGATGAGGAACTTTATTGTCTGCTGGCATAGCACATGTGTGCAAGTAAATGAATAATTTAACGGCTGTTAGCATTCTATTAAAGTTATTGAAGTAGGATATTAAATTATTGAATCATGGAGTGGTTCTGAGTATGAAGAAGTTGGTCAGAAATGATGCGTGTGTTGATGGTTCATTAGGCAATTAGTGAGCATGCAGCTTGGTCTTGAACCTGTGGGTAGAATGGGTTAGCAGAGTGAAGTAAATTTTGGAAAGTTAGCTACATCGCTCTGAATCTATCACATAGAGATACTTATTTCTTTCAAAGTGGTAGTTAAATATTAATAATAATTGCAAAGCTTAGATTTCTTAACCACTGGCTTATAAACATCGTACCTTCTTATTTATCAGAATTAATTTGCAGCTTCATAATGTAAACAGGTCCTCTGCCTGTGTAAATCAACATAGGCTCATTGACTTTGATGGAGCTAGACCAATTTATATTTCCTGAATACTGGGGGCAGGAATCTGGATTATAGAAACTTCTATCTGTTTTAAAATGGTGCAGATAATGGAAGAAAAAGTGTCTTTCACTGCATTGTGTAGGGGTATGTGAGAGGTATGAAAGGAAGTTAATAAACAATAAATTAAGAAGGAGAACTGTGAAATAAACCTTTCCTTTTCCTTTTTCAACAGCACCCTTCCTTGCGTGTTTTACTCATAGCATTCTTGATTATTGAAATGGTGGTCTTTAAAAGCCTAGCTTATTTTTCATTGTAAATCCTATGGGTTGCCTTTTTTTTTTTTTTGTGAAGGAATAAAAATAAACAAGATAGTTTCAGATCTCTTATTCTGAGTGCTGTAGAATTTGAAGCCCAAATACCAAGGAAGAGACCTTGAATCTAAATTTTTAAAATGGCAGGTTTTTGTATGAAAAAGTGGAGAGGGAGAAATAGAAATAAATTTACTGCTTTTGTATTCTGTAAAACCTGAGCTTGGAGTTTAAATGAATAATATTTGAAATGTGAAATGCAGGGTCAGAGAAGCAAAGTAAAGGTACAGTCAGGAAACCTGTGGGAAGGGACCAAGTAATCTGGTGCTCTGAATCTCCTATTAAGATGTCTTGGGTAAAACTCAAGGGTGGGATTTTTAAAGTTCTTGGAAGAAGTCCACTAATTACAGCAGGATTGGAATTAGGCTGAAACTAGTCACTTCCAGAATGCCAAGTTGAAATTATTTATTCTTTCAAGATGCAGCCTCCAATACCCACTGAGTTGCTACGCCTTTCCTTAAGTCATGTCTGGGTTATGAGAGTTTATATGTATTGCTGAGATGTAACAATGTTGCTGCACACAACTGTTCTGCTTGGATTATGATATATTTTAAAGAAATGTATTTTTCCTGAAGTGATACTTCTCAGATTTACCTGCTAAACACCAGTAGTTCAGAAATCCGTCCTGATGGGTAGCAGAGAGCAAAGCAAGGCGGTGTGTAGGAAAGTTTTGGTTTTGTTAAAGATTTTTCATCTGCCAAGCAAGCTACAAAGTGAAAATATGAGTGAAATAAAAAAATTGTGGGTGAAGTTGCAGATAATATTCAAAGCTGAATTTTAGTTAATTTATCTTTAATCTTTTCTGTCTTTGAACTTTTTTGGCAGGCTCTGTTTCTTTGGAGGATTGAAATCTGTCTAACTGCTATTCAGAAGAATAATCCCATTTCTGACTAGCACATAGGAAAACCCGTCTGGCCCAATTTTCCCTAGTATGGCTGGAAGTTTAAAAGACTATTTGAGTACTTCTTTAACTAGAAGACTTGGAAAATAAGTGATATAAATAAGAAACTGTAATGTGAGCAAATTAGTTCCATTTTAGTGTAGGTATGGCAATGCTGTGATTCACCTGCTTGTCAGTGTCATTATTCATGCTAACACTAAGCTTATTAATAAGTGTTTTCAAGATTGTACCTTTTTGAGTTGCTTAGTGTATATATGACAGTGATGTGCAGATCTTAACAGCAAAAGTATCTTTCTTCTTTACAGGATTTGAGTAATAGCATATTTGGAACGACCAGGAAAAGTAATCTGAAGAGGAACTCCTCGTATGTATTATTAGCATATTGAGATATTCATCACATGCTTTCAGAAAGATACTTCTGTACTTTCTGCAGGTTTCCACTGCAGTTCTGCAATATATTTAGGATGAGAAATTTATCTGAAGAGTTAAAGCAAATCAGGCTGTTTAAGTTTCTTTAAATGGAGCCTTATTAATGGAGATAAAGGAGATCCATTTAAACAAAGTGTGTAATTTTATGTGGAATAGACATCCCTTTTTATTCTAACAATAATCCAGTTTTCTAATTCAATCACTAAGATCACCATAGTCACATAGTCTTTAACTAGCCATTATTCCAATCTAGTGAGCATGAAAAGTTGCATTTGCTTTTGCTGTGCAAATTCCATGTTTCTTTTTTTAATAATTAAAGTGCTAGCAGCTCCTGAAACCTTCTCTCTTTCTCTGATTAATCTCTTTCGTACTGAGTCTGCACATTTACAAAATATTTAGCTTGGTTTTCTTAATGGGTTTTCAGTAGCTGTTAAGCTTTGATTAAATTTAGTGAAAGTGGACTGATTTCAAGTGTTTTCAATTTTGTGGTGGCTTTTTTGATTTTTTTTTCCAGTTTGATTGTGCATTATCTTAATATTGGGGGTATTTTTTTCCATGTGCAGTGCTGTCTCTATGTACCTTTTCCTTTTCTTTCTTATTTTCACCAATTTCTTTATATCTCTCTTACTTAGTAACAATGTGGGTGTAATAAATAAAAGGCACTAGAAAGCTGTCACCATAGGAAGAGGATAAAAGAAGAAAAAAAAAACCTGCATTTTTTACCCATCCTGTGGTTGGGTTTTGGTGGTGGTGGTGTTTTTTTGGGGTTGTTTTTTTTTTTTTTTTTTTTTTCACCCCGTCATTTATAGGCAGTAGGCAAACTGCATAGTTACTCTCAGGACTTACAGGCTGTTGAGTGGCCTGATTCTGTCACTTAGTCTGTTGTCTTCGGTGGGATCTCTCTGGTCTGTGAGGGGAATCATATCCACTGTCTTCTGTATCAAAGGCTGCTTTAACGTTAATGCTGAAGCTGTAGTCTTTCTGCAGCCTTCCTAATCCAAAGGTCCATCAGTTTAAAACCTGTTTTCATGCAAGCAGTGGTAATGGTGTACGTATCTCTGAATACATCTCGGCATTGATTGAAAAACGAACAATTGTGTGTGTGATTGAAGTGGTCTTAAACTGATGCTGTTATTGCAGTGTAAATGGTGTGAACAGGGGTGCAGAATCACAGAACATCTCTATATAAAGCAGAGAAGGAAACATGCAGAAAAATGTTGCCGTTCCTAGGTAATTGAAGATTATTTGCTTATTGTTGCAATGAACGAAGTTGTGCTGAGGGTTACTTTGTTTTATGATTGCTGATCAAACCTCTGCGAGTTTTGGCTTCTTGTAGACCACATCTCTTTGTATGTGTTAGCTTAATGACAGAAATTTTGGAGTAAAATATCAACTGTTTTCTTTTAAACAGGTTGAGAACTTCAGAGGAAACTGACAGTAAGTTTTTGGCTGCTTGTCACTCATTTTAATTCTTCTCTGCAAATCTCACTTCGACAGTTCTGAAGTACAAAATCCAAAAGGAAGTTAATTTACTATAGTTGGAGGGTTATAGGAAAATGTTCAGCTATTGTTTCATATGTTAGTTACTAATTTTTACTTTAAAGTGAAAGATTTTTTTATGAGGACATGTTTTCCTCATGAGAACTGCAGAATCTTAAAAGAAAAAGGTCTGTTTTTACTCTAATCTGCCCAATAACGTTGTCCTT